TTTACCTCAGAGCAGTTAAATAAAAATCCATCCATTTTGATATAGCGCCTTATCACATTGTTGAGACGTCTCAAAGTGTTTCACAGAATATACTGTAAAGTAGATTGACTGTATTTTGTGGGCAAAACACAGCAGTCAAATGCCCCAACAGTGTCCCACAAACAGTTGTGGATTGAGTGACCAAATTTTTTTTGAGGAATTATTATCCCCGGAAAATGATCTGCCAATCATCAACAACCAGTTCCCTACTTACTGCTAGGTAAACAGAGGTGTGTGGAGTAAGGAAACTTGCCTAAGAGTTTGCCCCGCCTAGGAATTGAACGTGGCTCCACTCGCTTATTGAGTGAGTGATATGCTCTGGCAAATCTAAACTTAGGCAGTAAAATAGCAAAATATTTAAAGCATAAAGACACTTTCTAGGTTCTCCATGTGAGGCAGTTGCTTTTCACATGATTGCTGTGAAATGCCAGTATTATTAATTTTTAGAACTAGAATGAATTAATTTCCGTATTTTCGCCCTTTCCTGCACTCCTTGATCTTAGGGCAATATAATCTAGGCCATGTTAGGCCATTAGATACATTTTAGGATGTTCCTTTACTGAATCAACAGTAGGTCATAGATCACAACTGCGACGAAGAAGGCCCTTTGGCTCATTTGATCTCATCCTTCCAGAATACCCACTCTAATTGTACTTTCCAGCACAGCATCAAACTGTTCCTTAAATGAGTTGAACTCTCAGCCTCAACCAATCTTCTTCATAATCTGGTTCAGTCATTAGTTCCTTCAGTGTAAAAATACTTCCCAGTTTTCATCCTGAAATTGCCCTCCATAGCCCTGAACCTGTGCCCCCTTGTTCTCTTGCCATGGCATATCTGGAAGTACTATTCTGAATTTACGTTCCCAATTCCATTTAACATTTTGTATGCTTCTGTAAGGCCTCTGTGAGAAATGGCTTTTCAACTTCCAAAACCTATATCTAGTCTATTTTATCTAAACTTTCTCTTTTCTTATCCCTCTAATATTGGGGTTTAATCTCATTGCTCTCATCTACACTTTTATAACAAGGTGAGCAATCTAACACCCCTAAATCTCTTTCAGCCTCCCCTTAGCAAGTTTTTTCCCATCCACAGAGAATGTGTCCCTTCTATTTTACTTCCTGTATGCTGAACCTTGTATTCCTCTGTATTGAACTTCATTTTGTTTGTGATCACCCAAGATTACACATCCTATTGAACTCTCTTTGTAAGATCTTAGCTGCCCTTAACTTGGTGTTACCTCCAAACGTTATCTACCTTGCAATAAATCTGGAAACCCATGTAATTATAAAATATATAAAGATCAAGATAGGTCCTGGGACTCAGCTCAATATCTTCATTTGTTTCAGCTACTGTAGAGTACACTCTCATATGGCTTTGCAGAGTCAAACTGTGGAGTTTATGAGATTTGCCTGACCAAGATCCTTCCCTCTAAAGTCTTCCATCTCAGCTACTTTCATTATATATAATGTTTTTCATGTTTCCAGCATTGTGGTATTAAAGACATCTTCTCATGCATAAATGACCCTCTGAAGAATGGCTGTACATCACTGTAGGGGACACACATCTGAAAGTCAGTAGGGTTAAGATGAAATATTATTGAGGTGCCTGTGCTTTAGTTGGGAACTTGTGCTTTAGCCAATAGTTACTTTGTTGGGGTTCAATGCTTCAAAGTATTGTGATGGTAAAACCTGTTTTTAAATCTGTGAACCTGTATTAAACTGATGAGAAATAAAGGATAACCTGCTCTAAATCTACAGTAATTTGCCACTTGTGATCATCAACTGTGTCTGATTGCTATCTCCTAGAAAACACCAGACACCGGATACTAAGTGGCTGATAACCAAGCAAAGCTACCTGCTCTATGATAGCCATTTTGGTGCAAGAATCTTGCCTGTATTAAGCATAAGTCCACTAGGTTGAATGACGAAACATTTCAGAGGTGAAATCCTTATCAGTCAGCTGTATAACAGTACATCAAATTAGTGATTCAAAGCCATTAAATAGGAGGCTTGAGCTAATACTAAAGTGGGTTAGAGAAAATCAAAGGAAATGTGCAATGCTTTCCAGTGATAACTGGGATAACTATACAATTGTTCACAATGTCAGCGATTGCATTGTGCTCTGTGCTCGCTTTGTGATGCTGCTTTTTCTGAGGGTGACAAAGGGAGTCTCTTTGAGCTTTAACAGGCTTGATCTTAACAAGATGTGCTCTTGGTCAGCGAGAGCTCGGTTAGTAGCAGAAGCAAAAGTGGGAAGAAGGAGTCTTTTAAATTCATCTTCAGTAGGATTTTATTTGTAGACGTGTTGTGAGGACTCTGTTGCCCTTCTGCGAGCTTTTTTAAAAAAAAACGTAGTCCTGACTTTCCGAGGACTCTTGAGGATTTCTGTTCCTAAAATAGAACGTTTGAGTTTTTTTTGTTCTCCTATGTGTGCATTGAGTGTCATGCATTCCTGTCGGGCATTGCCTGTTTGTGCTTGCCAAGATCACCGTGTATTGAGATTTGCTCCACTTTCTGTGCATCGCCTAATTCTGTTTTAAAACATTAAGCCTTCAGAATTTACAAAACAACATTACACACATCGTTACACAATCAAAACTAATCATGTGCTTAATTGGAAAGGACACTCATTTTGTGTAAATCAAAAGTTGCCTCCTAAATCCCTGCAGTGGGCAGGGCAAGGGTATTTTGGTGAGGGGCAGTGCACAGCATTAAGGCGAAGTGAGTGTAAAAGAGCTCATTGGCACTGACACAAAAGGAAGAAAGCACAGAAGACAATAACTGCACATCGCATTGAATTTCTAGAAACAGCCACAGCTATGTTAAGTTGCTGAATACAGTGCTTTTTTTAAAAAAAAAATGAAATAAGAGTAGAAATATCATACAAACTTCGATAGAACGAGATACAAAATGGTCACTTCAAAGACACCCTTTAGGAGAAGAATCATTTGCTTGTGTAAGTAAATAAGCTCCAGAAAAAAAAAGTCAAGAAGTAAAATCAGGATTTGTTTTTCAAAGTAGGAAGTTCACACCTATTAACAATTGAAATATAGGACGAAGATGGGAAAATACCCAGTCGTTTAAGGAGAGAGCAATAATTTTATAATCTCACATTGTACAGTAAAATACAGTGGCACCCTTAACAAAATCAAAGTCTGGCAAAAAAATGCATTTCTCTGGTGGGGGAAAAATAATAAAAGTAAAAGAAAAATAATGTAGGCACAGTCACTCAAAGGCCTCATAGAAATTCTTGCTGTTACTTCATTCTCAGACACGGCTGAGATCATTTTTACTTGTGTACAGCCTGCTCAATTCAAACACAAGTGAACTGGGATGGGGAGGGAGCTTGAGGAGGGCCAACAAGCAGCACAGGATACCAGATAAACAGCAGCCGTCAAGCTATCAGACTCAGGCAAGCAGCAGGTACTGCTTCAGTCAAATGATCACAGTCATCCTTTCTGACTGCTCTTAGCCACTGGATTCACTGCAGTGCACTGCACACTGTTAGGTTCAAACAAGGCTGGAAAAAAACAAGGCACTAAAACTTTTAAGTTGGATATTGTTTCCTTCAGGTGGTAAGTAATAAATCCCACAAATTCCACAAGGCTGCTTCATGAATTGTGAAATGTAACCCCAAAAAAGTTTCATAAAGTAGAATTTACTATTCTTATAGAAAACATGAATGTCTTCACACTAAGACAGTATCTGGCTCATGTTTAGCTATCTGGTATCCTGAAAACCAGTATTCCTTCTGTTACTGTTCTAATATATATGGGGCCAGAGAATCATCGATTGCAGTTGGAGAGTTTGCATACGAGTTAACAAATAACATATTCTGCCTGAGCATTTCCAGGGGAACATAGCTATGGGAAGAATGATTAGTGATTCAGTGATAGATATTCATTGATTTTTTATATTTTTTTCCATATTACGTTCAGAAAATTCCCAGTCAATTTTGGATTCCTCCTCCCCCAACTCCCAAAATTTGTCTCTGTGAGATTGATAAGCAGAGATGGTAATTCTGTGAGGGGAGGAGAGTGGGGGAGAGGTGGAAAGGGAGGACGAAGGGAGGAATTGCGACTGACGGAGAGCCAACTTCCCCTTATATTAATTTAAAATGGAAGTTTAAGTGACTTCACTGAAGAATGCTATCAAAACAGACATTTCAAAAAAAGCAAAATTCAAAAAACTAACTAGTCAATTCCCAACATTGTAGATAAAAGCAAATAAACCAACAAATGGCAAACATTTACTAAGATTTACCAACACTTCCTATTGCATAGATGTGCAGTGGCAGTGTAGATCAATTGTAGAACGGTTTGATAAAGAAATATAGGAATGAATTCTGAACACCTGGATGTGCTCAGTGTTTTCTGAATGGTGGATGCAGTCCACACAGTATAATGCCCAGTCATGGCAGCACACTAGCTTATTTCTATACAGTACCAGTTGCAGTTATAGTGTTTCTTTAGGAAGTCTTGCTACTTTCTATTCTCTGCAATTGTGCATGGTCCAGGACACTGCACTAGCACCAGGGCATCTAAAACCCTAAGGTACGTCTTCACAGAGCATTAAAGGGAGCTGCAAACTCCAGGCTGGTTGGTGTGGCAGGAAAAATGAGATTAAAATGTATATGCACCTCATGTAATAAAAATAATTTGTGAGTAAGAAAGGCAAGAATTTCAAGGGATAGGAATTTAGAATATTGAAGGGAGAAAGGGAAGGAAATGTGTGTCAGGATGACGAAAGTGATAATAAGAGATATCATTCAGCAACATTCACTGTTGTGTGATAATATTGGAGGAGAGNAAAAAGAAAATCACAGATTGTTTGATTACAGCACTACATAGGTTTGCAAGTGTTGTCTTTGCCTTTCGCAAATGCCACTTGGCTATTTTCTATCTTCTTCGAGTGGTAATTTTTTAAATGACACTCAGTGTTAGTAAAGTGCCATAACATTTCAATGAAACTTGAAAATGTGTTATAGCCACTTCCTGTCTCCTGGTTTTGATACCTCAGTTAGTTCAGCATTAAAGGTAGGAATTAAAGGAGCATAGAAAAGACATTCCCTCCCAGTTCACAGTACTGCAAATGTGATTAGTAAAGTGAGGTTGAAGCCAGTGAGAGGCAGCATGTTCCCAAAGACCATCACATGATAGTACAGCATTTACAGCGCTTTTTCTTTTCTGTACCTGCAGCTGGTTCCGTTCCGCTCTCAGTTGCTTCAAGCCCATCTCCTGAAGGGGTGTCAGTAGCCTCTGTCATGGATATCCCAGCCACCAGTTCAGCTGCGTTGCCATCAAGTGTTGAGACGTCCGTCACAGTCTTCTCTCTCAGTGACTTTTCATCGTCTTCGTCTATCAGGACAAGTTCTGCCTGGATGGCTCCCTCATAGCCCAGCAGTTTGCTTGCTTCTGCCTCCCCCTCCACATTCTGGTATCCCATGAAGATCATTGTCACTGGATGGTCAGCACTGGCCTCGGGAGCTTCACCTGCAGGTATCTGACAAATTGGGTTGACGGCAAGATCCAAGTTACTTGGCTTAGGGAGCATTTCTAGCTTAGCTTCCTTGAGGATCATATCTTTGTGTCCAGTGTCCCCAAGGCTCCTTGGGCCTTCAGTAGAAGCATTGCTTTCTGATGTAGTCAATGAGTCAGACACATATCTGTCACAACTCACATTGGTTCTCCCAGCTCTGTTTAGTAGTTGATCCACTTCTGATGAGGTTAAGTGTTGAACACCGTTTTCAACCACTGCCCCTCCAGAATGTACCTCATACACAACCTTGCTGCCATCATCGTAGACCTTAACTCCCCTCTGGTAAACTCCCTCAGGACCCAAGGCAGCTGTGGAGAGGACCTTGGTCTCTCCTGTTTGCTTGTCTTTTTCTACGTTGATCTGCATGCCGTACATTGCTGCAATGTCAACAAACAAATAAATGCACATTCAAGAGAGGAGCTCAAGGTATTTACATATCAGACGGCTGGAATTCCGTTTGGCATTCTGTGTAAGGGATGCTGACATGCTGGCCTCTAATGGGATTTTCCCACTGTGATTTCACATTGCCAAAGCTGCAACACGGAATGCTGACTGGAATATCAGCCCAGTGATTCACAAAACATTTTCATTCCCCTAAAGTCCTTCGAAGCCCTTATTTTACAAGCGTCACAACAACAACTTGCACTTAAATAGTGCTTTGCACATAAGAGAATAGCATAAAGCACTGAAGAACAGCAGCATTGGTTACTGAAGAAGGGGACGAGTGAGGGGCTTGATGTTAGAAGGGATTTGAAGATGGGGAGAGAGGGAACAAGGTGGAGCATGAGTTGACACCTTGAAGAGAAGAAATAGAATGCTTCGGCTCGTTGAGCATTGCAGTTATCTTAAAGAGCCAAAAGCGTGGCAACCAGGCTATTTAATAATAGGCACCATGTCAAATTCAAGGATTATTTAGGATTATTGTATTCATCATTGTTAATTAATGGTTGNAAAAAATAATGCTAGGATTTCAACAGCAGTAATGCATGACTACCTGGTGAGGTCCATCAGAACAAAATTTAGCATTGACTTAGCAGCAAAATAACACTGCAGTCAAAGCTTCCCTTTTCTTTTATTACAGTTACCACAAGATCCTCCCACTGATCTTCATATCACTGCATCCCTTTGCTTCACCATACCTCTGCCATCTCCTCCAGTCCCTCTTTCCTGTCTACTCCTTCCACTCTGCAAACTCAGACCTCTGGCTTGTCCTCCACAGGCTCCCCCTATATACGCCCGCCCCACCACACACATTCACACACTTATTGGCACACAAGTTTCAGTCACTACCGGGGAGATTAAGGAGGAACAATAGGCATAGAAAAAGCGAAGGTTGCAGGCAGAAATAACGTTATGAGTATCTTTGACCAAGGTTGCCTCACAAGTGTTGAGGGCAAGGTGGAAGCTGGATTGGAGGGACACATAGAGAGAATGGTGGGAGAGAAAGGAGTGAAGCTGGAGGGTGACAGTTTATTTCAGGCCCACGGAGAGGAAGGGAAGATTGAACATGGGATAGTAACTGGAGAGTTTGAACAGGTCAAGTGTGTTTTTTTGGATAGAAGTGGACAGTGATGATGGATTTTGAAGAGGAGTATTTTCCCAGAGTAAATGGTGAGGTTGATGCTATTAGAGGGGGGAGAGTATCACTGTGGACAGAGGAGTGTTGAAAAGGGATCAAGGGAATAAGTGGTGGGTTTCATGTGAGAAACTGCATGGAGGAACAACCACAACAACAACAGCTTGGATTTATATAGCGGCCTCCACACCGGACGGCGTCTCAGAGCGCTTTACAGTAACGGATCCTGGGGCCGAGCCAGGGGGAGGGGGCCGAAGGTGACCAAAGGCGCGGTTGAAAAGAAAGATCTTCAGCAAAGACCTGAAAATGGGAAGGAAGGGAGTGAGACGAAGGGAGTGAGGAAGGGAGTTCCAGAGCCTCGGGGCTGAAGTCACGGCTGCTGAAGGTGGAACGGAGGACTCGGGGGACGAGGAAGAGACCAGACCCAGAGGAACAAAGGCAACGGGTACTGTTTTGAGGAGAGAGGAGTCAGTTAGGTAGGGGGGTGCAGAGGAGTGCAGGGACTTGAATGCAAGGGTGAGGATCTTAAAATCGATCCTCTCTGGAATAGGCAACCAGTGCAGTTTGGCAAGAACTGGGGTGATCGGGGAGTGGAGTTTCGTGCGGGTGAGAATGCGGGCGGCAGAGTTTTGAATGATTTGGATTTTATGGGTGGTAGTGGATGGGAGACCAGCGAGGAGGGCATTGGAGTAGTCCAGCCGAGAGGTGATAAATGCATGGACCAGGGTTTCAGCGGTTTTTGGGTAGAGGTATTGCCGGAGACGGGAGATAGGTCGGAGGTGGTAGAAGGTGGTGCTGGTGAGGGACCAGATGTGGGGGAGGAAGGATAATTGGGTGTCGAACCTGACACCTAGGTTGCATACAAGTTGAGAGAGTTTTAGGAGGAGGTTGGGTAGGTGGAGTAGGTGAGAGTCGTGAGATTTTAGACATTGACGAGAACCGAAGAGTATAGCTTCCGTCTTGTCAATATTCAGCTGAAGGAAATTTGCGCTCATCCAGCTTCTGAGATCTGACAGGCAGGCTGACAGAACTTCAGGGGACTGAGGGTCGCAAAGAGAGGTGGAAAAATAGAGTTGGGTGTCATCTGCATACATGTGGAAGTGTATCCCATGTCTGCGGATGACATCCCCGAGAGGGAGCATGTAGATCAGAAAAAGGAGGGGGCCAAGGATGGATCCTTGGGGTACCCCGCAGGTAACTGGGTGAGAGCGGGAGGAGAAGCCGTTTGTGCAGATGTACTGCTGGCGGTTTGTGAGGTAGGACTTGAACCAGGCGAGTGCGGTCCCACTGAGGTGGATGACGGAGGAAAGGCGGTGGAGGAGGAAGGCGTGATCAACTGTGTCAAATGCAGCGGAGAGATCCAGGAGGACAAGGAGGCAGAGAGAGCCCTGGTCACAGATAGAGAGGATGTCGTTTGGGACTTTCACAAGCGCAGTCTCTGTACTGTGGGCAGGGCGGAAACCGGACTGGAGGGGTTCGAAGAGGGAGTGGGAGGAGAGGTGTGCGCGAAGTTGATTGGCAACGACGCGTTCCAGAACTTTTGAGAGGAAGGGCAGGTTAGAAATAGGGCGGTAGTGGCTGGGGTTTGAGGGATCTATGGAGGGTTTTTTCAGGAGAGGGGTGATGACAGCAGTTTTTAGGGAGGCAGGGACTGATCCGGAGGAGAGGGACTGGTTGATGATGTCAGCCAGTCGTGGGCAGAGGAGGGGAGCTGAGTGACCAGTAAGATGGTGCGGAGGGGGTCGAGACAGCAGGTGGTGGGTTTCATGGAGGTGATGGTGGGTGAGAGGAAGGAGGGAGAGATGGGGAGGAAGAAATGTAGAATGGGAGTGGTGGTAGGAGCAGATGATGAGGAAGGTGAGGGGGACAGAGAGGACATGGTGGTGGGTGATAAGGGGCAGGTGGATGAGGCTGCCTGACGGATGTTAAGTATTTTGGAAGAGAAGAAGTCCATGAGCTCCTCGCACTTGGCATTTAATATGAAGATTGAGGAGGCCTGAGGGGGGGGCACGGAGGAGGTAGTGGGTGGTAGAAAAAAGGATTTTTGGATTGTGTTTAGCCTCCAAGATGATGTTGAAGTAGAAGGCCGTTTTTGCACAAGTCAAAGAACGGCGGTAGCTGTGGAGATGCTCGAACCACAGTTGGCGGTGAACTGTCAGGCCAGTTTTCCCACCATCTGCACTCGAGCAGGAAAGGATAAAGGGGGTGATGGGGTCAAAAATATGAAAGGTGGGGAGAGGAGTTGGAGATAAGGGAGGTCATTGTGGGGAAGGTGGAAGATGGGAAGGGTAGAATGGGAGGAGGAAGTGAAGAAACCAGAGGCAACAGAGCAGGTCATTTTGATTTTGGAAACCATCAAACATCCATACACAAACAACTTTTCCACAGGATGACTGGATAGAAATCATCAGCAGGAACCAAGGTTGATTCACTTCAAATTATGTTTACTAATGAAAAGAATGTGGGGATATGATTTGGATCATTAAAATGATAGGAGGCATAGATGATGCTGGTATGAGCAGATCGTTTGACTCATGAGAGTAGAACCAGAGGTCAGATTTATGAAAGTCTCAAGTGAATATAGAGATTGAAAGACTTTCAACGCATTTTTGGAACAGATTCCCATCAAAAGTAATTGATGATGCACTAATTGATTCCTTCCATAAAGAACAGGCTAAGTAACTAGTTAAGAAGAATTCTGGATATTTTAGACTGAGATGAAGACTGAAATAAACAATCAATTGACGCAATAATTTCAGTACTATTAGGAATGTGAGGTGGTGGAATGCTGTTTGTGGATGAAATTATGTCGGTGTTTGAGTAGCGGAAATGTAGGAATGGATGAATATTCTGGAGTTTTTTCATGGATAAAAAAAATGCTTTTTTATAGTGTCTATAAATCAAACCATTCAAAACACTTCACAACAGATTACATGAAGTGTCGTGACTGTTTTTATAGCAAACACAACAGCCACCTTCACCAGCAAGGTTAATTTCTATACAGAATTTTCAGTGAAAATGCAGTGAATGAGCAAATGAAAGGCTTGGGTATGGTGATACTTGACATGGTTGTGAAGATATTTGACATGGCCTTGTTGTGTGCTTTCTTATCTTTTTCTTGTGTTGTAAAATATTGCTGATGATTCCAATTAAGTGGTAGATTACCGTAATGTAGTGATTAGAGCACTCATCTCACAAGCAAGAAGACCCGGGTTCAATTCCCAAGCGAGGCAAAACCTTAGACATGTTTCTTACTCCACACGCCTCTGTTTACATAGCAGTAAGTAGGAACCTGGTTATTAGTTGATTGGCATATCGCTTTCCGTGGGTAATAATCTCTCAAAAAAATTTGTTACTGAATCCACACTGTTTGTGGGACATTACTGTGCACAATTGTCTGCCACGGTTTGCCACAAACAGTCGTTGGTTGAGTGACCAAATTATTATTATTATTATTTTTAAGATATTATTACCCCCGGAAAAGCAATCCGCCAATTGACTAACAACTGGGTTCCTACTTACTGCTGGGTAAACAGAGGCGTGTGGAGTAAGGAAACTTGTCCAATATTTTGCACTGCCCGGGAATTGAACCCGGGTACTCTCGCTTGCGAGGCGAGTGCTCTTACCACTACACTACAGGACTTCACAATGTAATAAGGCGCTATATCAAATACAAGGATTATTATTAATTAAAGTGATCCTTGGTAGAAAATATCAAAAAATAGGGAGAGCTTGGCCAACATTTAATTGCCCATTACTGGAAGGATGTGCCCCACTGATCCCTTTCATTAATCTTTTGAGATGTTGAATATCTGTAGACAGTTCATGTAGCATCATGACCTGGGTAACTCGGTTGATTGAGAAATGTATATGGGACCAGAATACTCAAAATTCAGATCCCAGCAGGTCTGCTCATCTCTTTAGAACTACTGAAATTTACAGCACAGAAGAAGGCCATTCGGCTCATCGTGTTTGTTCTGGCTCCTATAAAAGCAATACTTTTATTTCCATTTCCCTATTGTTCCCCATATCCCTGGAGCTGCCTCAAAATCAAGTACTAAAGTACCACATCACGTACCACGCCCAAAACATATCCAGGGGAGATAGACGGACAGAATGGAGGGGGTGCAGGGAGAGGCAAACGGTGTCCCCCAGGAAGGAGGTGGAGTGGTGGGATTTGAGTTGATTGGTCAGAAGGCAATCTGGCAAACCTGATGGTTTATACTAATAAACTATTTAATTACCACTGTGGTATTTTTAAAGAGAGGCTATACAACGACTGGCAAATAACTGCATCTGCCTTCTATTAAGCCTTACATTTGCCCACTGTCATATATCCTCACATTCACCTTCTTTCTCTTCTCTATCTATATAGAAAAAAAGGTTTCAGTCTGTAGAGCAAATTAGCCTCCACAGACTGTATTCTGGAAAGTGAGTCAGCCGGGTGCTATCGCAGGCAATGCCCATTTCTGAGCATTAATTTGTGCTGAATCACAAACAAACCAAGGAGCCACATTTTATACAAACTACACAGAAATGATCTGGTTTCTCTTCAATGCACACTTCTAAATATAATTGAATCAGAGGACAAGGTGCAGCCAGGCACGCAACTCCCAGAACCACACATAGCCTGCATTCAATAGCATAGACTGATCACAAGCATTTTAAAATATATATATATCTATATTAGATGGTACACATTAAAAAAAAATTGCTTGTTTCAAAAGTGCACTAACCACTATGCCAGCAGAGACCTCCTATCACTTTAAAGTTTGATATAATATCTGGACATTGTTGAAGTTCAATGCTTTAGTCTGCGACTTACCCGCAACCTTCTCTGTCCCGTCCTCCCCTTTTATTGCCTCTGTCCTTTGTGAGTACAAACTTGGAAGGTTGGGAATCCGCGAAAAAATGTAATTTACTGCATCTGTTGGTGGAAAAACAGGAAATAAAGTGAGTGGCAGCAGTATTAGGCTCGCTGCTTCGACAGCAGAGTCCCTGAGAGCAGTGTATTAACCAGAACAATAAAAGGCAGCACAAGCACCAGGCTTTGCACTGAACAGCTGGATAAGAGGAAACAATGAGCAGAATCGCAGTCTCATGATTGGTGCTAAATAGAGTAGCTGAGGCAGGAAATATTGGGTCCAAGAGGCTCGTCTACATTTCGCTTAATTATTTAATTCAGTCAGTGGTTCTAGATTTTGAATAGGGTCAGTGACACGCCCACATTACAGATCACCGGGTACCGCTGCGTTTTGTGATTGAGCAACATTGCCATTTCACAAACTAACCAGCAATGTGTAAGGCCACCCACTGTCACTCGGATATGTGTGAGATAGCAAAGCCTTTTCACAGTGCACTTTCTGCCTCAAATCCATCACGTCCTCCCTCTTCTTTTCATTGAGGGGGAGTTTGTTGGGTGTTTATGTGCGCAGTCTTACTTCCTGCAAAACTTTGGGTCTGGAATGAGTAATGAATGCATAATGTTTCTACAGGATGCGATTCAGCCACAACCCAAACAGAAAACAGATGATTCTGACATTAGGGTTACAATGCAGAGATTTCTAACAGGGTTCCTAAATGAGAAAGCAAATGGAGACTGCTTCACATTACAACTGTCACACTGACCCATGGGAAATCTGCTCTGAATGTAGACTGTGTCAATTCTGTGAATGGGCATTGTGTTTTAAGTTACTTTTCTTACAAAAGATTCCTATTGGAAATCGTTGCATACAAGACCCCCGTGCTGAATTTTATTTTCACCCTCTTCATTTTGAATGTGTTAAGGTCAATGTAATATTAACAGGTGGAGTAGTATGTGCTTTTGCAGTCTGCTGCCATTTGTAATTGTGGGCTGTAGCCAAGATCATTTGCTCTCTGAAAATAGTAGCATGATATTAACAATGAGGACGTCACTGGGTATACATGTGAGGGTATCAAACCTCTGAAATGGTGCTCTAAGCATATTCACCGTCAAGATGTGATTCATTCACCGCTTGATCCTCTTTATACAGGTCACTCAGGTAGAATTTCTTGTAGGTGATACAGAAGCAAAGCTACAAATGTCAGTACCTCATTAATCTTCAAACTACAGGTAAATATTCAATTCCTTTCCTTTCCAAGGTGCTGGAATGAGTTGCTGCTTCCCAGCTTCACTCCTTCCTCTCAAGCTACTCCCTCTTCGAACCCCTCCAATTTGGTTTCAGTGCTGCCTTGGTCAAAGTCACAAATGACATTTTGTCCATCTGTGACCAAGGCTTTGTCTCCTTATCCTTGTTGACTTCTCTGCTGCCTTCGACACTGTCGACCACTCTATCCTCCTTCATTGCCTCTCCTCTCACCTCAACCTTCATGGTCCTGTCCTTGAATAATTCAGATGCTACCTTTCACAACGTCTCCACTTTAAAAGTCTCCGCAAACTGCTTCTTCTCCAGCACCCACACCATCTCGTGCGGCGTTCCTCAGGGCTCTGTTCTTGGTCCCCTTCTCTTCAACATGTACAAGCTCCTTCTTGGTGACATATCCGCAGACATGGGGACAACTTCCACATGTACACAGATGAAACCATCTATCTCTTTGCATCCACCCTCGACTCCAGGACAACTGCTGTCCTGACAGAATATCTGTCAGACATCAAGACCTGCATGAGAGCTAGATTTCTCCAATTGAATATCAAGGAGACCGAGGCTCTCCTGATTGGCTGCCGCCAGCGCCTCCTCACCTCTGGAGCCGGCAGCATCACCATCCACGATTGCACACTCCACGTTGCTAAGCCAGTCCAGAACCTTGGGGTCTTGTTTGATCCTCAACTGTCCCTTCTACCCCACATCTGTGCCATGACGTACTCTGCCTTCCCCCACCTCCGCAACGTCAGCAGGCTCTGCCACTGCCTCTTTCCTCAGGCCGCCAAAACCCTCATCCACATATTTATTACATAAATTGGCTCAACTATGCCAACTCCCAACTCTTCACTCCACAAGCTGCAGATCATTCAGAACTCTGCAGCTCGTGTCCTCTCCCGCACCAGGCTCTGGGACACTATCACCCCCATCATGGCCAAGCTCCACTGGCTTCCCACCCCAAAAGGATAGAGTTCAAAATCCTCATCCTCACCTTCAAAGCTTTCCACTCTTACTCCTTCCTACCTCTATAACCTGTTAATGCTATATCAACTTGTCCACTCCCTCCGCTCAGAGGCTCTGGCCTGCTCCACATCCCCTGCCCGGCCTGCGTCGACGGTCGGTCCTTCAGCCGTTCTGCCCCTCCATTTGGAACTCCATCCCACAGTCCCTTCACTCTGCTCCCTCCCTTGCTTCCTTCAAAGCATGTCTCAAAACCTCCTCTTCGACCACGCCTTTAGCCACCCTCCTACCCCTATCTCCCCTGCCCTCCACCCCTCCTGATCCCAACCCCGTGCTCAGGTCCAAATCCTTGAATGTCCAGCGCTTTGGGATATCCTCTCAATGTGAAAGGCGGTATACAAATGTAATTTGTTGTTGATGATGTTGAATTCCTGAGGCTGATAAAGGCAATAAGATTGAAAAAGTGGTTGTTGGTAAAATGATAGAGTAAATGGTGCCACCATAAAGCATGGGATGATGATAAATAATGTAATTCACATTTATACAGCAACTTTCACATCAGGAGGATGTCTCAAAGTGCTTGACACTGTTAGCTGGACACCTGTACTGGGTGGCAGGAGCCGAAGAAGAGGGGAAGTAGAAAGATGACCGAAAATTTAGTCAAATGTATGATTTGAGGTGGGCTTAGATTGAGCGGAGTTAATAAGGCAAAGGGATTCTGGGATGGAGTTCCACAGAGCAAGGACAGAATGTCTGAAAGCCCGTCCTAAAATGCTTAGGACATAAAATTGACTGGAATGGTACCTGCAGGAAAAAAAACATGTAGTAATCCTTTCATTTGATATAGCACCTTATCACATTATCCAGACATTTCAAAACGCTTTGCAGGATTTTATTGTGAAGTGTGGTGCCAATTGTGCACACGGCAATGTTGCACAAACAATCATGAAATGAGTGACTTGACAGACACCTACATTTAACTTAATGAAGTCAGGAGTTCTCCATATGGGGAATTGTGGGCACAGACTTCATTTCACATCTTTATGTGGAGCAGAATATTGGAACATTTCTGAGATCAGCCTTGAACACTGCACTAGTTTTGGGGTTCTGGCCCTCAACAAGAGGTTAGTGAGTGACTCACTCCTACTACCTCTCATTGTGTTTTTACTATCAAACTCTACTTTGCCCTTCGCACTGGAGTACTAGGAACTTGCAATGGAATCCAGGTACCTCAGCCCAGTCCCCCCAACCACCTCCAGTTTATTGGTGAACTTTCAGAAACAAGCCATGAGATGAAACTCAAGATTTATTCTTCCATTGGTTTCCACCCATCAGGATATGAATATAAGCATGGGGCCATATTCCCCAGCCATGCCATAAAGAGTCGATGTAGGATCAGAGATAAAGGATATTCTGTAATGATCCCTATCATTTTTAAAGGGACAGACTACTTCAAATCCAATTAGTCCAATTTGGAGCCAAATGTTGACCTATCTTTTGGCCCGATTTAGTTGAATCTAGATATGGAAAACCTATTCCAAGATCATCCCTGTGGATCCATTTAATGAGAACCATAATATTATTTTACCATTCTTATGTAATGGAAAACAATTAGAATCATTTGCACAGCTCAATCAGTACTGCTTCCAATTTCACAATCTCTTGCTTGTTCCAGCGAGAGTAACATCTCGTTATAATGCATTGGGTGGATCCATAAAATCCCAACCTCAACCATAGCAAGGTATGATAGCTGGTTTCACTATGCATGAACATAGGCAGTCGACAGCCAAAAAGAAAATAATAATAATTTGGTCACTGAATCCACGACAGTTTGTGGGACACTGCTGTGCACAATTGGCTGCCATGTTTCACCCACAAAATATACAGTCAATTCACTATTACAGTATATTCTGTGAAGCACTTTGAAATGTCTCAAATACGTGATAAGGCACTATATCAAATGCAAGGAGTATTCTTATTATTATCATTTTATGGATTTTTTTAAGCATAGGAAATTAAAATGGCCGACATTAGGGCCATCAAGTCGGTGCCAAATGTAATTTCCTGCTTTGCTCACTCACAGCAAACAGGAAGTGATTCCAGTGGTGATCTAATGACCCAAATGATGGCATTTTAAAGTGAAACCTGACCAGAGTGGAGGAAACAAGACGGCTGACTACGCGCATGCACAATCAATGGGTTTCACAGTGGAACTCCATTGTAACTGAATTTGTTCTCTAAAGAAGCAAGTTATAATGGGACACCACTCCTCAACAACAGCATGATCAGCATTTTACAATCTGTTCGATTAACTGTTTCTTTTTTGTTTGTAATGATTAGTTTACATTTTTTAAGCTTCTGCCTATAAGCTGTTTTCTTGGCTGGTTGTACTACTCTCCTATATCTTGTTTAGCTATCCTATTGAAAAGAGAAGGGATTTCCTCACAGTGCCCTGGCAAACAATTCACCAGAAAAATTGGTCATTCACTTCATGGCTGTTTGTGGGACATTGGCCGCCGAGTTCACATACAAAACATACAGTCACTACCCTTTACAGTGAATCCTATAAAGCACTTTGAGACATCTTGGCACTACAGCTTCTACAGCAAATGCAAGGATTATTATTAGTAGTAATTCTCCGTTCCTCATCACTTTAGTTCTGATAAAGGTTATGTCCAAATTGTTAGCCTCTCTGCTTGTAAGTGATCCTTATGCAATTCCACCTCCGGGATGCTTACCCCGTGTGAAGGGAACTATATAAATGCAAGTTGTTGTTTTGCAATTTAAAGTCTTTGGGAATCTAGGCCAAGCGTCCCAAGCTGACACATGCTGCCATCCATAATGAAGCACTAATAACTGTGAAGTGAACCTTAGAAATCATTGCATCCAATCTGATTCAGTCAAAGAGACCCATCAATAGCAGCAACAAATGACAATTCTATAATGCTTTCATGTCAGGAAGATGTCTCAAAATGATTCACATCGCTGTCTTGCAGCCCAATTTAATAATCTTTACATTTGCTATTGTGATTTGATGTCAGGAGGACATCTCAAAGCGCTTCACAAGATCTATTGTAAAGTGGAGTGACTGTGTACTTTATGGGAGAATGTAGCAGCTAGTTGCGCATAGCAATGTCCCACTAACAGCCATGAATTGAATTAACAATTTTATCTAGGGGATTGTTGGCCAGGACACCAGGAGAAACTCCCTTCTCTTTTTTAATAGTGAGATGGGATCATTTAAACAGTAGTTGGGACCCCGATTTAATATCTCATCCAAAGGACGGCACCTCCAACAATAAAGCATGCCTAAGTACTGCATGTCCAGGATAGACTACATGGGTTACAAGTCCCGACGTGGGTCTTGAACCCATAACCTTACTCAGAGGCAAGAGTGATGCCAACTAAGACAGGCAGATACAGAAAATTGAACAGAGGGGAAGCTGAGGTGAGTGGGAGAAGGGAAAGGTGACGGAAGGCTCATCGGGCAGGGACATCAAACAGGCTGAGTGGAGGATTAGCCAGAGCAGCAGGGTTGCAGGAGGTCGCAAAAGTAAGATGGGTCGAGGCCATGGAGGTATTCAATCTCAGATTAAGGCTTCTCTCTCCTTTTGCAAATATTGCACGTTGGACTGAATTGTGATACCAAACCCACAAACTGTGAATGACTCAATATTACTCAGTAAATAATAAACAAGGATGGTTAGCAAACTGCAGTCCATTTCCCATCCATCTTTTGTTAATGACCTATATTTTGGACTTTGCTGGTTCGGGATTTTCTGGCCACAAATTTCACTGCAAATTTCAGAATCTGATATTCACATAACGCAAGTCACAGTTAGGGCTGGTTTGTAATTATCAGAAGTTAGACTTTCATAGTGTGCTCTCCTTTGATTTAATACAATAGTGTGCTCTCTGTTGCATTGCTGCAATAGTGTGTACTTTTCTTCATTTAAAGATAAGTCTAACAGCTGGGGAAGGTGGGAGCGAGGTGGAGTGACTCCAGGATGGAGTTCCAGAGAGTGGGCACAGAATGTCTGAAAGCTCACACACCATTGGTGTGACGCATCAGGCTGAGGACATGACAGAGGCTGAGTGGAGGAATAGCTGGGGGAGTAGGGTTGCAGGAGGTCACAAAAGTAGGGTGGATCGAGGCCTCAAAAAGTAGCTCTTTGACCACATTTTTACTTATTTTTACTCCCACCCTCAGCTATGGTGTCCAGTCAGATTTGCTAGGCACTTTGGAACATCCTCCCGACATAAAGGCATGATATATGAATGTAAATTGCATTATAATACAGCAATAGTGTGCTCTCCTCTGCATTACTGCGAGTGAGTGCTCTGCACTGCATTCCTTTAATGTCTGCCTACACATTGTCTGAAACACCGTAGGAAATTGCCTACTCACCTCCATCGGGATTGGAGAGACTCTGTGAAGATAAAAAGAGAAAGAGCATGTTAACATTTTAACGTGCAGAACATACGATCAAATGAATCCAGAGTCTGACTGTAAAATTCCATTTGTTGTGTTCTGAATTGTACAAAATATAATATTTGCATACATTTCCCAGATTAATAATTTTTGCGACTGTCATCACAAAGCAATCTTTACTCGATTTTTCGTACAGACCCTACCCAGCTAAATGCATCTGCATAAACTGCCACGTGACCACCTCACGCTTATGGGTGACAAGCATCTCACTTCTAACAGAAGGAATGATAAATGGGAATCTACCAACTCCACAGCAGCAATTGACTCAATCTGTCAACTGATGCATGAAAGAACGTGTGTCTGGCATGCAATACGTTTTATATGTGAATGTTACCCAATCACTTTAATTTCTTTGGCAGAGGTAAAATTACATTTTGCTGCTTGCCACCCCACCCCCTTACGAGTATATAAAAATTAACCAGTGTTCCACAGTCATTTTTGCTCCCTCTGTATATTTTATGGTTCTTTCGCCCACAAAGTATACAGTCAATTCACTTTACAGTATATTCTGTGAAGCGTTTTGAGATGTCTCGAAGACATGATAAGGTGGTATATCAAATGCAAGGATAATTATTATTATTCTGTCCTGCAACATTGCTGTACCAGCAACTGTTAACAGGAAATTTAGGCAGAATTCAGGGTTCAGCCCAGAAATACAGAAATGTATTTTTAGGAACAATTCCCAAGGTTTTATAAAACTTGAGGCTGCGTAGATTAATCATAGCACACGAGCAAATGTGAAGGGACTCCGTGAGCTATGTAGGCCAAGCGTCCCAAGCTGACGCATACTGCCATCCACAATGAAGCACCAATAACTGTGAAGTGAATTGCTACAGTGTGATTGAGCTATACAGTTACCCTTGTATTGCAGAATGATGGAGATTTGTTTTCCATTCTCCAGACTAATATAAAATACAATATAACTTAGATTTAGACAGTGTCTTTCATGTTCAGAGAACCCCTCGAACCACTTAACACTTAACACTATGCACCCGAGCTGGGAGTGAGAGCCAAAATTGGGTGCAGAGGGCAATCGAAGACGGATGACTTACGGTGGATGTGAACAAAGAGCAGGAGGGAACAGGCACTTGGGAGGGATTCATTTATAAGGCAGGATCTCAAGTCTGGTATCAACTGAATCCAGCATTTCAGAACTTCAGTGGGTAGAAATTCCACTTCGGTTTCAGTTTATTTTCCTAAAGCAATATTTCAGAGCACCCAGAAATCGGAAAAATTCTTAAATACAGCCTTTATGTTTAAATTTCTTTCAACAACAAAACAAATTACATTTGTACAGAGTTTTTCACGTCAGGTGGTCATCCCAAGGTGCTGGACAGTCATGGATTTGGACCCGAGCAGGGAGTTGGGATCAGGGTGGGTGGATGGCTGAGAAGGTAGGAGGGTGCTTGAAGGCGCAGTCAAAGAGTAGGGTCTTGAGGCATGCCTTGAAGGAGGCAAGGGAGAGCGCGAGGCGAAGGAACTGTGGGATGGAGTTCCAAAGGGTGGGGGCAGAGAGGCTGAAGGCCTGACTGCTGATGGTAGGGCTGGCCGGGTGGGGGACGTGTAGCAAGGTTAGCATATGCAGTTCGCAGGTTACAGAGGTAAAAAGGAGCAAGGCTGTGGAGGGCCTTCAAGGCGAGAATGAGGATTTTGAACTTTATCCTCTGGGAGATGGGGAACCAGTAGAGCCGGGCGAGGGTGGGGGTGATAGGGTCACGGAGTCTGGTGTGGGAGAAGACATGAGCAGCAGAGTTCTGGATGTGAAGTTTGTAGAGAAGAGTTGGGAAGACTGACAAGCAAAGAGTTGGCGTAGTCGTGTTGTGATGTGATAAAAGGGTTTCGGCAGTGTGAAGGGGGGAGGGGCAGTGGTGGAGCCGGTATTGCGGAGGTGGGGGAAGGCAGAGAGGATCATGGCATGGATATGGGGTAGAAAGGATAGTTCAAACAAATTCCTATTCCCCCTATCTTGACACCTCCCTCCACCCACCCACCCCCGAGAACACCATAAACATTAGCAAAAAAAAGACGCAAAATAGAATGAAAAGTCCGTGCATAAAAAATTACATAAAGTTCCAATGCCTGGTTGCTGACCTGCTCATTGAACCGACATGACTTATCAATCAAACAGCTGCATCAAGGATCAGCTTGCTTCAGATCAGAGTTTTTATATATTCAGCAGCTCACTCCAGAGCCAACAGCTGATCAGTGCAGAGCTGTGTCCAGAGTACCCTTGAGCTGGTCCATTTGCCACTCTTGTGCAATATTATCATTTCCCCCAGAGAAGGTTTCAACTCAATGGCCAAAGTGGTATGTAAAAGCAGCGTTGATGTTTATACAGCAAGAGTGAGGTGAGAACGGCAATCTACCTTGACAATTCAAACAGAAATCCTGCCAATCCTGAGTGACCCCAGGAACAAAGTGGGGTTGGACTAACCATGTTTAATATTAGGTGTTCCGAGATCATAACTGATCCATTTCATTGTATGATTAACAAGCAGGTGATTCTGTGATCACAACGTGCAGAATAGGCCCCGGTGTCAGAATTGAAATGCACAGATTCAGCCAGTCCCTGGCTGGTGCTGAAACAGTCAGTTTGTACTGCAGAGTGAAATTACTTTCAGAAGGAATAAATAAATAAAACATGAAGTCTATTCTATTTCTGAATGCATTGGTATAGAGTCAAGGTGACAAAGAGGCCGATAAACAGTGCCTTCAATATTTAGCACATATTTTAGCACATCAAGGGGACATGCCCCCACCAAAGTCAGTCTCCATGGTGATGTTTAGAAAGCTGGGCATGACACAGTCCATCATAAAGGCAGGTACAAGAGTCCAAAATATAAATGAACCTCAGTTGAATTTTTAGCCATGCTGCTTCCTCTCTCTGGAACTCCATTCTGGAGTCCCTCTGGCTTGCATAACTCCTCTTTCGAGGTCCATTTCAAAACGTACCTCTTTGACTGTGCTTTCAATCATCTTTCCCCTTCCCTGCTTCTCGGCTGCCAAGTCATCCTCCCAATGTGAAAGGCAGTATATACAGAACAGGAATAATAATCCTTCACGTGATATAGCGCCTTTCATTTTTTCAGTGGTTCACAGTAGTGACGCTGTATTTTGTGGCTGAATGCAGCTAATTAGCACACAGCAATGTTCTACAAACAGCCGTAAAGTGAAAGATGAAATTTATTTGGAGGTTTGTTCTCCAGAACACTTGAAGAAACTTGCTTCTCATTCTGAATAATGTCATTGGATTCACCTGAATAGGCAGACGGGACTTCAGTTTAATGTCTCATCAAAAAGACATTCCCCAGTACTGTATTTGAATGCCAGTCTAGACTGTGAGCTCAAAGTCCCAATGTGGGGCTTGAAACCACAATCATCTGATGGGGCAAGAATTCTAATAACTGAGCCCGTCTGACACCTATTGTCATAACATTCAGTTCTTAAGCCTGATGTCCAAAGGACACCAACATTTCAAAGCACTGAGCCCTTAGGTGAAACATGGTACACAGAAAGAGATCAAGATGATGCCACAGAGATAAGACATTGTAACCAATAGAGGTTGAACATTGAAGATCACACAAGGGAGATTTCAAGTTCTGAGCTGGTTGAAAGCCAGAATGCAACTTGAATATAAGTTCCCTTGGTTACATAATTAACCACTAATGATAAGGAATACAGATGTTTCTTGAATCATTTTCACTGGTTAATTCTATAATTCTCTTTGATCGTGCCTTCAGCTCCGCTCTCGACTCTCTACCCCCTCCTCGCTCGCTCCCTCCCTTCCCTCACCCTGACCATTTCCCCCCTGCTCGGGTCCTGACCCAACTGTCCAGCGCCTTGGGACATCCTCCCGACGTGAAAGGCGCTCTATAAATGAAATCTTGTTGCTGTTGTTGTTGTATAAGCAACAATCGTGTATGGGTCCGAACATGGCTAGACCATAGGCTACTATCCTGCATTTTAGTCCCCTTTGAGAGCTTTTAAATGATTAAGGCTTCTCTAATTGATTTAAAAAATAGCTAGTTGATTTGAAATCTGGCTCAGACAATGGGAAACAGAAAGGAAGGAGAGGGTTTTAAGGGCTAACAGAGGTTCCTTAAAAGCCTCTCTCTCGCAACATGCCCCAACATGAAGGGACATGGACTCAAACGGTTAACTCACTTTCTTTTCTCCATAGATGCTGCCTGACCTGCTGAGTGTTCCCAGCGATTTCTGTTTTTGTTTCAGATTTCCAACATCTGCAGTATTTAGCGTTTTGTAGGAAACAGAAGGTGTTGATAAAGCTCTCTCTGGGGAACAGAAATAAATGAGCTTTATAGGAATCTGTTCGGGGTTCCCTGCTGCTCAAGCTCCTGGATGATGTACTGGATAATTCTTGCAGTATTGTAAAATAGCACCTAGCCGTGTGGCCAATTGCCAAGTGCAAGAGATTGATAGCATTACAATGAATCTGGATAAACTGTGTGCGTGAGATGAATTGTAATGGAAATAAATCAGTCATGTTTCCTATTATTGATCACTATCCAATGCCTGCAGTTGGAAAGTGTATTTGTCTGGACATCAGGTACAGATGAGAATCGGCATGATTGCGAGCCATATGATGTAGTAATCTTGGCATTCTATTCAAAAGGTGTACTATATATAAAATATCTTTTTTAAGGCGTTTGACAAAGCACTTGATGAAAGACTCCTCCACAAACAGTGGGCACAGGGTATCAAGGGCAAGACATGGACATGGATTCAAAATTGAATTTTGAAGGGAAGGAAGCAGATGGTCTTTGTAAGGGGAACTGGGTCTAAAATGGGACAGGTATTATGCAGCATCCCTCAGAGATCTGCACTGGAACCCCTCCTGTTCCTCAAGTATATTGACCTGAATTCAAAGAACCAGTGGAGGATGATATCAAGTTGGGGGGGACTGTGGAATTAGAGGAGGCAGAAAGGGCCCACAAAGAGAAATTGATAGGAATGCACAGGGGCTGATAACTAGGTTTAATACTGATATATGCAAGCTACTACACATAGATCCAAGAATAGGAAACACAAGTACTCAATGGATAGTGTTGAACTTGCCAAAAGGAAAGCTGAAAGAGATCTAGGGGGATTAATTGACTCATCGTTCACTGTGTCAAAACAGTGTGAGGCAGCAACAAACAAGGCAAATAGGCTAGGTCCAGTTCCTGAGCCAAGCGGGTCCGCAATATTCCAGGGCAATCCTGATTCCAGTCTGGCCTGCCTGGCTCATCGGCAGGACTTGAAGGAACAGACTGGGTGCAGAGATTCATCTTACTTGACTTCTGTTAAACTTGCAAGTCAAAGTCCTAACAGGTAGTGTGTTCTTTACTGAACAAGCAGCAGGAAGCTTGCCAGGCAGTTCTTTCAATGTAAAGCTATGTGGCTTTAGCTGGTTAAACTCAACACTTAACCCAATGTACACTCTGGGGTCCCCAATCCTTGGCAAGAGCCAACCTATGGCAAATATTCTCCAGAATTAGGCAAGATGGCTGCATCCCTCCAGGGAGAGATAGATTGCATCCCAGACACAAAAATACAAGAAGAAAACAGAAGTGAAGAACGATTTGTTGTGATTCATCCTTTAAAATGGAAGTAGCTGCAAGCTTGTTATTTAGTTCTTCCAGAATATGGCATTTCTATGGCAAGTAATAATACTGAGAGCAACACAAATGTGTGGCAGCCTGTTAGGAGTACCCCTCTTGTCCTAACAAAGAACTAAAGTGGTCCTCAGACTCAGTTACTAATTGTCATAGAAAAACTACTGCAGAAGAAGCAGCCCAAGGTATGTGTCAAATCACTAAGCTTGAAAGTACAATCAAGTGATCAGATTTGCACCATGCTAAATCCCATTATAATTCACTCAACTGAATACTGTAGCAAGAACCTATTACTTAATGCTTGTGTGCATGTTGAATGACCTGGTTATTTCTGTATCAAATTGCTTATTTACAACATTCTTTTTGATTTGGTTTGTGTCATGTGTTTCGTAACTGATCTTAAAAAATCATACATTTCGAGTACGTGCAGCAGGACTGTGTTAGTTGAGCAAAGGGGTAAACAGAGCAGTTGGGTACAAGCAGGTTAGAGAGGTAGGGAGGTGCAAGTGTGTGAAGGAATTTGTGAAGATTTTGAAGTCGATCCTTCGCAATTCAGAGAAGAAGGCCAATGATGATTCTGGATCTCTGAGCTCTACAATACAAAGAGAGATTCATAGATCTGGACATCTTTTCCATGGTTAAAAGGAGCAGACTAGAGTCTGGGTTATAGGTGCTGAGAGGCAAATAAAAGATAGAAGCAATCAGGCAAAGACCATAAGACCAAAACCAGAAGACACAGGTTTCAAACTCATAAGCAAGATTCCAGGTTAGAAAGATTCCATGTCTCCCTGATATGCCTATATAAACAACTGCAATTATCGAAAGACGTCTTATGTATAATATCTGTAAAATTAGTGCCTTGGGATGTCCCCCCGATGCGAAAGGCTATTTGTGATTTCCGAAAGCTGAGAAAATGCAAAAAAAGCAAAATCAGTTGCAAATATCCACCTTAATTGCTAAATAATGGGCTAGATGTGGTGGAGTGACATGGAGAAATAAGACACCTCAGAGATCTGTTCCTCATCACCACTGCCAATGCCAATGGTCTGTTTGCCATGCACATATTTTATGGTGACCAAAATCAAAAACTATTATGCAATTAGTCCACATAAAACAGGCCAATTACACAATTGTATTTGAAGGATTCCATTCCTAAAATACACACAGACACAAAATGTTCCGCTTAAATCCTAGGTAAATCAATTTATGTTCAGTTAAAAGTAATTACATTAGAGTGCAGTATGGATTGAGTCCTCTCAAACACTGTTGTTCAATAGGCATGTATAATGCAAGTACATGGCTATTTTCCATTGACCCAGATGCAACACTATACTTAACTAAGTATCACGGTTTTGTGGTATTTTCCTAAATGTTTTCATTTGTTTCAGATGGTTACAAATCAGACTTATGGGAGGCAACATGTAAAAGAAACAATAGTAACTCGAGAGAGAGAGAGGTAGGAAATGTAAAATACAGTCTGAAAATGACTCCCAACAAAATGTAGTAAACGGATAAAACTCCAAGCTTTTGCTGTTCACCACCATTAAACTGATCAAATGTCATATTAAGGAAACTGGAGTGTTGGGCACCATCCAACTCAAACCCATATTGCCCAGCGGAAAGTCTTGTACTGCCACAGAAAATACGAGACTTCATTGCAATTTAACCCACATGTACAAATGTGTTCATATTTCAGTGCAATAATGAAAGGTTGAAAAATTGATGGTAAATAATAATAATCCTTGCGTTTGATATAGCGCCTTATCACGTCTTCTAGACGTCTCAAAGTGCTTCACAGAATATACTGTAAAGTGAATTGACTGTATATTTGTGGGCGATACGCGGCAGCCAATTGCACACAGTAGAGTCCCAAAAATAGTGACCAATTCATTATTGGTTTTTTTTCTTGAGCGATTATTATCAGGCGTCTGGAGGAAGGAAACATACCCAAGGTTTCGCCCTGCCCGGTCATCAAAATCAATAGTAAATAATGGTTTGTGCTACACCATAGAATGGTCCAGGTTCAACTTGTACAGGAACTCCTCCAAACCGAGACTGCTCTGGACAAAGTCACAATGACATTCTTTCCATCGGTGTGTAGGGTTCTCTCTGCCTCCTTCGACACTGTCGACCATTCTATCTTCTCCACTGCCTGTCCTTTCAGCTTCACCTTCATGATTCTGTCGCTGCCTCACTTTATTCTTAACTAAGCCAACAACTCCACTTCATATCAGCTTATGGTATCCGTCTCACCACCACGCTGTCACATGCAGCATTCCTTAGTGCTTTATCCTGGGTCCTCTCTTCTTTAATATCTAAATGCTTCCACTCGGTGATGTTATCCGCAGATATGGGTTAACTTCCATATGTATGTGGATGACATCCACATCTCTCTGCCACCAACCTTGATTCAAGCACCTTTGCTTTTCTGACCGATTGCCTGTCAGACGTGGATGAGAGCCAACTTTCTCCAGTTGAATGTCAACAAAAGATTGGCTCTTCTGCTTGGCTCCTGTCAGCAACTTCTCGCTTCAGGTGCTGACAGCATCAATCTACATGGATGCACTATCCACCTCATGAAACCAGTACAGAACCATGGTGTCTTGTTCAACCCTCAATTGTCCTATAAACCTCACATCCATACCCTGACACATTAATCTTTTTCCTACCTCCACAACATTGCTCACCTCTGCTATTACCTCTCCCCTCGAGCCACTGAGATCCTTATCTATGCTTTCATCACATCCAGGCTAGAATACCTCAACTCGCTCCTTACTGGACTTATACTGGACAAGAAGATCCAGTTCTTCCCTCCACCAGATTCAGACCATCCAGAACTCTGCAGCTCATGTCCTCTCCCGCACCAGGTTCCATGAGCCTCATCCTTGCCCAGATCTTGGCTTCCCATTCCGCAGAGGATTGAGTTCAAAATCCTCATCCTCACTATTAAATTCCTCCACGGTCTTGCCCCACTCTACTTCTGCGAACTTCTGCATAGCTTGCCATTCCGAGCACTACCTGGCAAGCTTTTACACTGCTTGTCCAGTTAGGACCATCCTACATGTTCGGACTTTGGCTTGCAGAGTTAAGGGGAGCTGAGTTGGAAGAGTCCCTGTCCCTCCTTCAGCAGGTAGACACCAACAAGTATTTGTTTACCCAGAATGTAATTAACAGCTAGAACCTGTTGCCAAGAAGGATGGTTTGGGCCAGGACACTGGGCTCATTAAAAAAGCTAGCTTGATGCTGTGATGGGAAGATAGTGGGGTGGTTTGATTGTGTATATTTTTTGGGCTAAGGATTGGACGTGATTGCATGAAGTACTTTCTGAGTAGTGTCAACACTTTCAGTTAATCAACATGCAAACCAAAATCTCTGCGTGGCTTTTGAAACAGAAATTGTGTCAGTGCATTGCCACTTTGAAGACTTACTGCATTGTGTATCAACAGGTTTTGACACTTACCTTCTGCAAGTCTTCTATGGATGTTTCAGTCTCTTTCAACTTTTCTCGAATAATTTGTTCTTTGGCAGCTATTTGGGATTCTTCGCTCTCTAGGTTTTCTATTTCTCCCTCAAGTCTGCAACAAATAAAAAGGTTTTCACGTCACAAGATCACAAGAGAGATTTGGATGAAGAAGGCTCTTCAGCTCATTTGATCTCATTCCTCCAGAACACACAACCTACCATCTTCCCACTATAGCATTGAAGTGTTTCTTACATGAGGGCTGGCCTTAAACACCCTTCCTGATAACCTGTTCTAGTCATTATTTTTTACCTCTGTGTAAAGAAATGCTTCCTGATGTATGTCTGAAAATCCCCCGTTGCTACGTTGAAACTGTATGCTCTTGTTCTGCTACTTTAGCATATCTGAAAACACTGTTTGGAGTTTACTATCTCAATCCCATTGAAAACCACTCTTTTCAAAATATCTCTTTTCAAGGCTGAAGAGCCCTGATTTGTCTAACTGCTAACTTTTAACTTGGGGAATCACCTTTGTTGTTGTCCTGTGCACTACCTCGAGGGCCTGGGAGCTCCCTTGTCACAGTAACTAGAATTGTATGCAAAACTCTACTACATATATGATTCCTGTGAATCTGAACTCATCTGACTTCGCAATATCGCCGTACATCCTCTTTGCTTTATTTATTGCTGCCTGACACATGGTAAAATGACAATTAGTCAAACAACATGCCCAGATCTCTTTTAGTTTGAAGTTTCATGGAGTGCCTAATAACTTTACTTCCTGTATATAGTACCTTGCATTTATCAAAATTAAACTTCATTCACCAGTTATCGACCTATTTGGAGTCCTGTAGCTCAGTGGTTAGAGCACTCGCTTTGCAAGCGAGAGACCTGAGTTCAATTCCAGGCAGGGCGAAACCTTGGGCAAGTTTCCTTACTCCACACGCCTAATAATAATCCCTCCAAAACAAAACAATAATAAATTGGTCATTTTCAATCTACGACTGTTTGTGGGACATTGCTGTGCGCAATTGGCTGCCGCGTTCGCCCACAAATATACAGTCAATTCACTTTACAGTCCATTCTGTGAAGCGCTTTGGGACGTCCTCCCGACGTGAAAAGCGCTATATCAAATGCAAGGATGATTATTATTATTATTATTTGCATTCCCTATCAAGCTCTCTTTGTATGACCTTTGGTGTCTCCTCTGATTCCACAGATCCCCCAACTTAATGTTGATCTTATGTGCATAATTTTTTTCAGGGCAACAGAATGTGCAAACTGGGAACTTATAAAAGTGAAGAAAAAGAATGCAAACATGTGTCAACATCAACAACACTCGCCTTAAATGACCACAAAGTCTCACCTCAAAATAAACAGTTAACTAACTAGGGAGACACATGTGAGTGAATTTAGAACAGCAGTTTCAATGGGGGTTCCGATGAATGTTCTCAACATCTCAACTTCAAGTTTATCATTCAAAGAGGTCACTGCTTGTAATCACTGTAGTCGAATTAAGTGCTTTCATTGCGATAACCCCCTAGGCCTTCCCATCTGTCCCCCAATGAGAGAAGTAACTAACTGTGGGAATCTCGGCAAGAGATGCAGTTGTCAGTCTTGTCACAAATCTCATATAGCAAGTGACTCTTCCTCTCCCCCATCCCCATTACATTTTCTTACCAATTAACACATGCTAATGAGGAAACCAAGCATAATGAACATGTTGGGTTTTTTTTTGCATACATGCATATATTTACTTAAAAAGCAATTCATGCTTAAATAAATGTATTTTGTGTCTACCAACAATTTATTAAGATCACATAATTCTCATTCTCTTCTGAAAGACATTTCCGACTTTCTTTATAAGACACTAGACTCACACAATCTCAGTGTTTGTATCTCTAAGTGATTATAACATGCCATACTGTGGCTTCTAAAAGTTTGCCCACTAGCAATGTGAAGCTGATGAGTCTATAGTTCCCGGCTCCTCTCTTTCATCCTTCTTGATGAGAAGGATGCATGTTGGTTTTAAACACCGGCACAGACTAGTTGGGTTAGATGGTCTGTTTCAATGCTGTAGATTCTGTGTAATGACTCAAACACAGAACGCCAAGTCACACATCACCGTCAGTTTCCAAGTCCAGAGAACTCCATTCCGTCAATTCTGCAAAATGCCTTATTTGATGCCTCTTAATATATCTCATGAGCAAGAGCCAAAAGTGGGAAAACTCACTTGATTGCCAGTAAGCCAAGTGGAGGCATTTACTTAATAATAATATAATAATCCTTGCATTTGGTATAATGCCTTTCACTTTGGGTGGACATCCCAAAGTGCTTCACAGGAGTTACTCTGAAGTGGAATGATTCTGTATTTGTCGGAAAAATGTGGCAGTCCAATTGCACACAGCAATGTTCCACAAACAGCCATGGAACAAATGATCAATTTTATTCAGGGAATTATTGGGCAGGAGATTGGGAGAAATTATCTTCTCTTTCGAAATTGTGCCATGGGATCTTTAACATCCACCTGAACATGCAGACGGGACCTCAGTTTAAACATCTCATCTGAAGAACAGCACTTTTGACAATGCAACACACCTCCAGCACTGCATTGGAGTTCAAGCTTAGACTATGTGATTCCAAGTCCCAACGCAGGGCTTGAACCTACAAACTCTGACTCAGTGGTGCAGTGCTATCATTGAACCAGGCTGAGGCATAGGCGGTAATAGCAATGGAACAGGCAGTTCAGCACCACTAATATATGGCAACGTTTATACTTCACATGAGCCTTCAACTTTAACCTTTACATTTGATATTGCAGCTTATCACATCAGCAAGACATCCCAAAGCACATACGTCTTATACCTTTCTCATACCCTCTATTCCCTTCTCCTTCATGTATGCATTGAGTTTCCTCTTAAATGCAATGATTCATTCGGCTATAACCACAGATTCTGGCAGTGAGTTCCACCCTTCTGAATAATGACAGTGTCAAAACCAGGCTGAGAGGTCCGGGGCAAAGATAGCTTGGATCCTGCTTGGCAGTGATCACTCTGAGTGAGTGTTTTGACAGATTGTGGTCAGAGCCTCTGCTATTTCCTTGCTGACTTCCCTCATTAATTCTGGGATGCATACCATTAGTCCCTGGTGACTTGGCCACTTTGATTTCCGTTAAGTTTCTCAGAACCACTTGCTTTTCTGCTTAGCCTTTCGGATTGCTTCACCTCCCGCCCTTGTATCCCAACCTTTTCACTGCCACACTCTTCTGTGAAAACTGACGGAATGTAAAAAGTACATAAAACCCTCACAATATTTCATCATAGAATCATAAAATTATACAGCACAGAAGGAGGCCATTTAGCCCATCGTGTCTGTGTCGGCTCTTTGAAAAGAGCTATCCAAATCAATCCCACTCACCCTCTCTCTCCCCATAGCTCTACAAACTTGTCCTCCCCCAAAAATGATCTACTATATTGTTATATGTGCTTGTGGGTTTGATTTGTGTGTATATATTTGTGTAGATAATTTCTGTGTAGGTCTGTATGGGGGTGGGGGGGCGGGGGGGGGGGGTGTGGTGGGGGATAAAACAAGATGAGTGAGGAGCATGGCTAACCCTTGTACATTGTCGCTCTGACACTCACTGAAGTTGAGTGACCAAATGGGTATTCTGAATGAGCATTCTTGGTGCCGTTCTTTAACAGTCAGCTGATCTGAATGATCTGTCTCTTGAATAAAAAACAGGAAGCTCTGACATTACTTTCCCTTGAATTCCAGGGAATGTTGAGCTTTCTGGGTCATTCAGAACTAGTCTGTGGGGCGTCCAAGCTCTCAGGAAGCCGTGTCAAGGTTATATGTTCAGGAAACATGTGTGGGAGGGGTATCCCATGCCTTTGTGCTTGCTGTTGTCATTCCCCAGATGTATGGGATCCAAGCATCGATTGGAATATTAACAATAGCAGGAAATTTTTGAGAAAGGTGGAGATGTTGTTAGAACAGCCTCAAGTCTGAGGATTTCCTGACTGGATTGCTTTGCACAAAGTATGTTGCAAATTTCTTCCCTGAGCTGCACTGTATGTGTGTGTCAGTCCGGCTCAGTTGGGTAGTACTCTCACCTCTGATTCAGAAGGTTGAGGGTTCCAAACCCATGTCAGGACTTGGAAGCTATATAGTTATTGCTCTCAATCTAATGCAGTGCTGGGGGTGTGCTACATTGTTGGAGGTGCGGTCCTATAGACGAGACATTAAACAAACGTTCCTGTCTGCCAGATGGCACTATTCGAAAAGAGATGGGACTTTGCTGAAGTGCTAGAGGATCAATGCTTATTGGCGGTGCCTTGCTTTGGATGATATGTTAAATCAAGGTCCCATTGGCACTATTCAATATGGGATGGGAGCTGCTTCCAGTGTTCTGAACAACAATCCTCCAGATGAACTGTTCGTGGGGCAAACACATTGCCAATCCTGCACAGGCTGAATCTGTCTGAATTCTAAAGAATAAGAGGCAGGAGGGAGCCATTTCAAGGCTACTTTAAATTTAACAGGTTAAAATTATGCTTATAAACTTTGTAGGTTGTTGTATTTAAACTGGCTGCTGCTTCTGCCTACAAGAACACAGCACTACACTTTTCCAGCAAGTAACTGTAAAGTGCTTTGAAATATTTCATTGCTATAAGCCCTATATTAAATGCACGGATCATTAAGTATGCGGTCTTGGATAAGTCACAACAGTTTTATAAGGCTCTGAAATCAAAATTTGTGTTACTCCTAAGGTTAAATTGTATTTCAATCCTTCCCAAGATTTCTGAATAACAGTAGTCACAAATATTAATCCTCTCATGTGAACTCCATCATTCAAGGCCTGTGAGTGGGTTGACAACCACTGCCCGATCAAATATTACCCAAACACATTGTCAATCCTGCATAGGCTGAATCTGTCGGGATTCTAAAGAATAAGAGGCAGGAGGGAGCCATTTCAAGGCTACTTTAAATTTAACAGGTTAAAATTATGCTTATAAACTTTGCTAGATTGCTACATTGTATTAATTTGCAAATATCCGTTATTCTCTACTTATTTGAAAATTACCTTAATCCATCACAGTGTGGCTGTATCCATCAC